ATGAATCAGAGATAGGGTGAGAGACAGATGGTATCGGCATCGCTCATAGATCCTGTCGAGTCCGGCTCGATTACAGGAAGGTCAGTCAATCCATTGTGCAGGTAGGTTTTGCATACAGCTTAGAAATGGTTGCCATATTTTATAAAAAGTCTTACTTCTATTCTGCATCCAATAGGTTATTTTTTCTAGGGTCACACAGCTGTTGAGCTCACAAAGCCATATTTAATTGGAAGGCGGGCCTCTGATTTCCATTTTGTTGCAATACATTTTTTAGCAACTGCCAGAAGGACTTCTGTAAGTTTCTTATTATTTGTCTTTAGATTGGAGTTCATAAAGTTCCCCAATAAACAAATTTCCGGGTCTTTTAGAATCGTGATGCCATGAATGTCTGATAGCGTTTCGCAAACTCCCTTCCAAAAACCCTGCAGTTTAGAGCAATGCCAGGTGGCATGGAGGAACGTTCCTTCCTCCATGTCGCATCTAAAACAAAGAAGAGATATATTGGAGTTATATTTATGTAATTTTTGTGGCGTAACATATAGGTGATGTAAAAAATTTAATTGTACTAGTCTAAATCGAGCGTTTAGAGCAGAGATGACACCTTCTCTGCACAAATTATTCCATAATTGCCTTTCAATAGATATTCCCAAATCCTTTTCCCATTTGATCCTGGAACTATCCATACCAGTTCTACTTAAAGTTGACGTGAGTGCTGTATACACCCTCGAGATGATTTTACATAATGGCTGATTGGCATGACACATTTCCTCAACGGGAGACATGGGTGGTAATTTCCAACTTCCTTTCTGATTAGTTCTTATGAAGTCGCTAAGTTGGAGATAGCCAAGGAAATCTTTGTTAATTTAAACTTATCTTTTAACTGCTCTAGTGACATAAATACTTCCTTTTTGTAGCAGTGCTCTAATTGACAAATTCCCTTCTCCTGCCAGGATCTAAAGTTACCAGACTGAAAAATCTTTGGTAGCAGTCCATTTCCCCATAACGGGGTTTTAGGA